CACAGATTCACCTCACACAGACACCCACAGAATCACCACACACAGAGACCCACACACTCACCTCACACAGAGACCCACACACTCACCTCACACAGAGACCCACAGACTTCAACACACAGAGACCCACAGACTCACCACACACAGACACACACACAGACCCACAAACTCACCACACACACAGACTCACTTCACACAGACACACACACAGACTCACCATACTCACCTCACACAGACACACACAGATACACACAGACACACAGACTCACCTCACACAGACACACAGAGACTCACCTCACACAGACACACACAGACTCACCACACACAGAGACCCACAAACTCACCACACACAGACCCACAGACTCACCTCACACAGACACACCACACACAGACACACACAGACTCACCTCACACAGACACACACAGAGACCTACAAACTCACCACACACAGACACACACACAGACTCACCTCACACAGAGACACACAGAGACTCACCTCACACAGACACACACAGACTCACCACACACAGACACACACAGACTCACCTCACACAGAGCCCCGTGTCGGCATCTTCAGGCTGAGTCGACCTCGAGGAGGCCCAGACAGAGTTTAGATTTTTCCCGCCATCGCCGCCATTCGCCCCGACCGGAAGCGGAAGTAGAAGCTGGGGGTGGAGGTGGCGGGCGCCCAAAGAGGCGGGGCGGGAGGCGGCTTCCGGGGGCGTGGTCTCGCACTGGCACGTCACTCGGAGGGGCGTGGCTGACAGCACCGGTGACGTCGCAACATCACGTGCTTCCTCACAGTTGGAGAAGGTTTGTGAAGGAGACGGCTGCTGCTCAAATTTCAGCTGCTTAAGCTTCATCATCTTCGTCCAACTTCTGCTGAAGCCATCCGTGCCAAACCTTTGACGAGGTGAGTGTGTGGGCTCGTGGTGAGTGTGTGGGTCCGTGTTGTGTGCTCGTGGTGAGTGTGTGGGTCCGTGGTGAGTGTGTAGATCCATGTTGTGGGTTCGTGGTGAGTGTGTCGGTCCGTCTTGTGGGTTTGTGTTACGTTTGTAGGTCCGTGTTGTGGGTTATTTGTGAGGCTGGGTCCGCGGTGAGGATGTGAGTCCATGTGAGTTTGTGGTGATAATGTTAGTCCGTGTTGTGAGTTCGTGGTGAGGATGGGGGTTCGTGGTGAGGATGGTGGGTACCTGTTGGGGGGATGTGGGACAGTGGTGAGGATGTGAGTTCGTGTTGTGACTCTCTACACCATCTCCACCCCCCTTCCACCCCCCCACTCACAGCTTTCCACACAGAGACCTTGGGGACTGCTGCGTGAGCAAAGCCACTCTGAGCATCAGCACCATGGAGGTACGCATGGGCCCCTACACTCGACTTACTAACACCACTAGCACTTACGAACACCACCCACACTTACGAACACCACCCGCACTTATAAACACCACCCACACTTACGAACGAGCTTCCATGAAATATATATTTGTTTAACATCGACTTACAACTCGCACTAGCGAACCGAACCGTGGAACGATCCTCCGCGAGATGTAGTGAGTGTTTGTGATGCCTGTACACTACTCTGTGGCACCACGGTGGCTATGAGATGTTAACAACCTCACTAGGTATACAGGAGGTCGTGGTTTCGACCCCGACCCTTAGGCCTATTGTTTATTTGAAGTCTGTGTGTGTAGAGGAGCCTACTCTCAATATTGTTTTTGTGTGTGTATGTGCGTGTAGACGAGCCAAGCTGGAGCGAGAAGGAGGGAGGGAGTCTCTGACAACACGTGGAGCGCGCTGTCAGCAGCCGGCACCGGCCCTATCTGCAGTAAATCGCCTCGAGGTGAGAACAGCAGTGAGCAAACATGTCCATCGGTGAATGGGGGCAAGTCACTACCGCCATTTTGCATGGGGGACTTCACAGTGGCCATGTTGCTTAGGGGACTTTATGGCAGCCATGTTGCACGGGTGACTTCATTGTTGCAATTTTGCATGGGGGATGTCACGGCAGCCATGTTGCATGGGGTACATTACTATGGCCATGTTGCATGGGGACGTCATTCTGGACATGTTACGTGGGGGATTTCACGGTGGCCATGATGCATGGCAGTCTATAGGATGGCCACGTTGCATGAGGGATATCACAGCGGCCATGTTGCATGGGGGTTGTCATGGTGGCCATGTGACATGGGGGATGTAACAGCAGCAATGTTGCGTGAGGGATGTAACTTCGGCCATGTTGCAAGGGGGACTTTATTGGGGCCATGTTGCATGAGGGCTGTCCTAATGGCCATGTTGCATGGGGGATGTCACGTCAGCCATATTGGATGGGGGTTGTCATGGTGGCCATGTTACATGTGTATACAGTATTTGGCTGCCGCGATATATTTCCACGTGATGAAGATGATGATATCAGCAACTTCGGTGAGGCTTTACCAGCCAAAATAAAAAAATATATATATATATACATATAGTTTAGTTTTACGATGGGTCCCTGTGGGTGTTTATTGTTCGATATGAGCATGGATCTCTGTGGGTCTCTATGGATCTATATAAGTATGGGTCTCTATGGGTCTCTATGGTTCGATACTTGTATGGGTCTCTATGGGTCTCTGTGGGTCTCTATGGTTCGATACGAGTTTGGGTTTCTGTGGGTCTCTGTGGGTCTGAGTTGAGTGATGAGTCTCCACGTGAAGATGATGATGAGGATGATGATGTAGCTCTTACCTGGAATGTAAAAGAAACAGAAATAGTTGAAAGTTTAAGTGTTGTTGCTGGCACGTGTGCAGAGATCCTGGATCTCTTTCGGGCCCCAGCTGAGTCATCGCCAGAAGCTGGAGCTGGCGGCCATGAACAAGTATGGTTCTTCACTGTGGACAAGGTCGGCAAACCCCTGGGGCGGCAAGCAACGACAGCTACGACGACGAAAACAACAACTACATCCCTGTGAGGCTCACAGAGATACAAAGATACCCATAGAGACCCACAGAGCCACACATAGAGACACCCACAGAGACCCACAGAGACACCCATAGAGAACCACAGAGACCCAAAGAGACACCCACAGAGACCCACAGAGACCCAAAGAGACACCCACAGAGACCCACAGAGACCCACAGAGACCCACTCCTATTGAGACCCACAGAAGCACCCAAAGAGACACCATTAGACACCCACAGAGGTTTTTGTTGGGTTAGAAGGCATGAGTATAAATTTGTAACCTGCCACCACCACCAGACACAGACAGTCAGTTAAGGTTTTGTGTTACGGGTTTCTGGGGGTCTCTGTGGTTGTCTAGGGATCTGTGTGGGTCTTTATTGGTCTGGGTGTCTGTGGGTCTCTCTGAGTATCTCAAGATCTGGGTCTCTGTGTATGTGTTATAGTTATTTCACGCCATATGTAGCAAACTTTGGCTAATTCTCTCACAACGACGTCGGCCGCAATGGCCAGGAGATGTTAACTCCCTCGCCTGGTATACAGAAGGTCGTGGGTTGGATACCGACCCTGACACCTGCTGTATATTTGGAGTTTGCGTCTCTATCTCTCTCTCCGTGGTTGCGTGGATTTTTCTCCGGGTCCTCCGTTTTCTTTCCTTCCACATTTATAATCAACGTCACCACACATTGAGAGCAATTGGCTTCCGCTATACATTTCCACACGGTGGTAATGATAAGGCCACTTCGTTGAGCAATGATTTGAGATGGCCAGGTTGCTTTTGAACAAGAATAGTTACATAGCAGCTCAGTGGTGGAGCCTTTAACAGCATAACAATAGGCTGCAGCCTTTCTGGAAATAAAACACATACTGGTGGTGAACATGCAAACAACAACATGCTCTGATAATGTGGCATTGCCTTTGAAACTGATTGGTCTACACCAGAGAGAACAGCCTTCTTTCGGGCCTAGTCTCAATACCTGGGTCTCACCACCAGTTGTTCGCCACCAGTGTCTCACTACCAGTATCTCATTACCTGTCTCACCACCAGTGTCTCACCACCTGTGTCTCGCCACCAGCGTCTCGCCACCAGCGTCTCACCACCAGCGTCTCACAACCAGCATCTCACAACCTGCATCTCACCACCAGTGTCTCACCACCAGTGTCTCACCACCAGTGTCTCACCACCAGTGTCTCACCACCAGTGTCTCATTACCTGTATCTCACTACCTGTCTCACTACCTGTCTCACCACCAGTATCTCATCACCAGTGTCTCACCACCAGTGTCTCACTACCAGTGTCTCACTACCCAGTGTTAGATGGATAAACGCAAAAAGGCGAACAACTCCCCCAAGTTTTAACGCAATTCGGTATTCTTGGGTCTTTCGGTAAATTAACGTACTGTAGATAGGTTCAAAGAAAATATAAAAAAATAACAGGAAGACGACCGCTTACGTTGCGATCAAAACGTCGTGGTTTTCTGTTATATTTTATTATTTTCTTTGAACCTATCTACGTGACTTTACCGAAAGACCCAAGAATATGAATTCCTGCAGTCACAAAAGCTTTAAGTCAAGCATTCGGCAGTTTAACGAACCATTTATACATTTCCGCGATCTAACACCCAAGCAAAAATAAACCTCCGTGGTGGAAAATGGCGGTCTTGGAAGCCCCGACTGCTGCTGCCACCACCGAGCGTTAGGCGCTCCGATTGCGACGCCTCTGAGTACCGGCCCCCGTCTCTTCCTCCGCCTCCTAGGTCCGCAAGGAACAGCTCAACTACCGCTATGAGGTGCAGAAGATGATCGGCGAGGGAGGCCAGGGCCTGGTGCTGCAGTGCCGCGACCACAAAACCAAAACGCTCGTGGCCGTCAAGATGCTGTCGCTGCCCTTGTGGTGAGTCAGAGGGCCTTCCGCGGTGGCCCACACTCTCGGAAAATAATCATCAATGATTGGAGTTAAAGCCGTGAAACTGCCAGTAACTATGGACTCGCTGACAAAATACTAACTGCCGCAAAACTTCTGCCAACTATAAACTAACAAAATACTAACTGCCGTAAAACTACTGCTAAATATGAACAAACTAAAAAAGATACTAACTGCCATAAAACTGCTGCTAAATAGGAACCAACAAATGTTTAACTGTCGTAAAACTTACTGCTAACTATGAACTAACTCACCAAATAATAACCTGCCGTGAGACGACTGCTATGAACTAAAGTTAACTTTCAAAATAATAACTACCGTGCAACTATTGCTAACTATAAACTAAAAACTAACAGACCCATAGAGACCCACAGAGACCCATAGAGACGAACAAAGACACCCAGACCCTGAGAGACCCACAGAGGCCCACAGCAACACCCAGACCCTGAGAGACCCACAGAGACACCCACAGCGACACCCAGACCCTTAGAAATCCACAGAGACACCCAGACCCTGAGAGACCCAAGAGACACCCAAACAAATAAAGACCCTTAAAGAACCACATAAACACCCAGACCCTTAGAGACCCACAGAGGCCCACAAAAACACCCAGACCCATAGAGAGCCACAGATATCCACAGAGTAACCCACAGAGGCACCCACAGAGACAACCACAGAGACCTATAGAGTCACCCACGGAGACCCCCACAGAGACCCCCACAGAGTCACCCACAGAGACCCCCACAGGGTCACCTACAGAGAAACCCACAGAGACCCCCACAGAGACCCCCACAGTCACCCAAAGACCCGCACAATCACCCACAGAGTCACCCACAGAGACCCCCACAGATTCACCCACAGAGACCCCCATAGAGTCACCCACAGAGACCCCCACACAGACCCCTACAGAGACCCCTACAGAGACCCCTAAAGAGACCCCCACAGAGACCCCCACAGAGACCCCACTGAGACCCCCACAGAGACCCCCACAGAGTCACCCACAGAGTCAACCAGAGACACCCACAGAGACCCCCAAACAGACCCCCACAGAGACCCCCACAGAGTCACCCACAGAGTCACCCACAGAGTTACCCACAGAGTCACCCACAGAGTCACCCACACAGAGTCACCCACAGAGACACCCACAGAGACACCCACACAGAGTCACCCACACAGAGTCACCCACACAGAGTCACGCACAGAGACCCTCACAGAGTCACCCACAGAGTCACCCTCACAGAGTCACCCACACAGAGTCACCCACACAGAGTCACCCACACAGAGTCACTCACAGAGTCACCCACACAGAGTCACCCACACAGAGTCACCCACACAGAGTCACTCACAGAGTCACCCACACAGAGTCACCCTCACAGAGTCACCCACAGAGTCACCCACACAGAGTCACCCACACAGAGACACCCACACAGAGTCACCCACACAGAGTCACCCACACAGAGTCACCCACACAGAGTCACCCACACAGAGTCACCCACACAGAGTCACCCACACAGAGTCACCCACACAGAGTCACCCACACAGAGTCACCCACACAGAGTCACCCACACAGAGTCACCCACACAGAGTCACCCACACAGAGTCACCCACACAGAGTCACCCACACAGAGTCACCCACACAGAGTCACCCACACAGAGTACACCACACAGAGTCACCCACACAGAGTCACCCACACAGAGTCACCCACACAGAGACACCCACACAGAGTCACCCACACAGAGTCACCCACACAGAGTCACCCACACAGAGTCACCCACACAGAGTCACCCACACAGAGTCACCCACACAGAGTCACCCACACAGAGTCACACCCACAGAGTCACCCACACAGAGTCACCCACAGAGACACCCACACAGAGTCACCCCCACAGAGTCACCCACACAGAGTCACCCACACAGAGTCACCCACACAGAGTCACCCACACAGAGTCACCCACACAGAGTCACCCACACAGAGTCACCCACACAGAGTCACCCACACAGAGTCACCCACACAGAGTCACCCACACAGAGTCACCCACACAGAGTCACCCACACAGAGTCACCCACACAGAGTCACCCACACAGAGTCACCCACACAGAGTCACCCACACAGAGTCACCCACACAGAGTCACCCACACAGAGTCACCCACACAGAGTCACCCACACAGAGTCACCCACACAGAGTCACCCACACAGAGTCACCCACACAGAGTCACCCACACAGAGTCACCCACACAGAGTCACCGTTGATTTCGTGGCCTTCCCCCTCCCGTTGCGCAGCTCCTCGACAGCGGCCCGCCAGAGGACGGAGCTGGAGGTGGCCAAAAAGCTGCAGGGCAGGGCCAGCGATGAGCGCTATGGAGTCATCCGGGTCCTGGACACGTTCGAATTCCGCGGCCACAATTGCCTCGTCGTCGAGCTCTTGAAGTACGTGAACCTTCCCACCCCCCCCCCACCACCCACCCACGTGCGTCTCCATTGCTCCGTTCGATAGTTGATTTATTTCGGAATTAATATTTAATATTTGATCAAGCAACTAGATTTATCGATTTATCACATTTATAAATTGAGTTTTACACGCAGGGCTTTTGCGACCATTATAATCCATAATAGAGGTATTTTTGGGTTAGATCGCTTAAAAATATAAATGTTGCGTCGTTAAACCCGCCACAACCCGACACAGCCAACTAGTAAGGGTTGTCACGCAACAGAACGTGCCAATTCGTTACTAGTACAGCACTAGTGTGTAGTGTATAGTAGTGTAGTGTATAGTGTAGTGTATAGTGTAGTATAATGGTACAGCACAACGGTGTGTTGGACAGCCAAGCCACAACATTTACAATCTCTGAGTACGACGTTTCGCTAGTAATTACAACCAGCTTCATCAGGCGAAAGTCAGATTTTGTGGAGAATTCCACCTGTTCCGTTCCTTATAAAGAGGCACAGATGTGGTGACCACACTTCTGTGCGGCAAAGTTGGGTGGGGGATAAATTTTCTAATTTGTTCCCCAATAGCTTTATTTAATAACTTTCATAATAAACTTATTTTGCAGTTTATTTAGTGAGTTTAAAGATAATTAACAATTCATCAAAATATGTCTCGCCTCGTTAAATGAATTAATTTAATCGAAGACGTAACTTATTTAATTGCTATTTTGGTAATTAATTTATGCAATAATTCATCTGACAATTTTACAATCACAATTTGTTTGGCAACCGAGTCTCCAAAGCTCTGGGAAGTCGAGCAGCACGCGTCCACGTGGCCCCCGTGGGTCAAGCAGCTCAGCACGGCGAACCGCTGCGTTATCGACAATCGCAGAACACCGTGGGGACAAAGCAGACGCAGGAAGTCCCCCGGGTTGTGGAAGACGCGACTCACGGAAACGTTCCCCATGAATCACACATTCTAATTTTTTTATGATAATCATAATCTACATGTGGAAAAAGGGAATTTGTGAATTTGTGTCTGTTTGAAATGTTTATGCAACAAACTTGAAATTTGGCATGTGGGTAGCTTCCAGACTGTACACAATGCAAAAAGTCTAAAAATAGACTTTTGTATTTTGGGGGGGGGGGGATGGCGGAATAATGCATGTAATACATTGCACGGCAAGTGAGTGGTGACGTCACATCTGTGATGTCACCCGCATGCGGCAGCGTCACGCAGTGTGCCTGCTGACGTCACGCATCCCCCCCCAACCCCCGCGTAGGCTGTGTATCCCGCACAAAAGCGCTGCATAGCTGCCTACATTTTCTAAGTCAACGCGACGAATTTCAGCTCGCTCCTAAATAGGAAGCAGAAAATCCATCTGTTTGTGTGAAGCAGCAAAAACTCTCGAACGCTGAGTTCTGACGTCGTGAAATTTGCACAGCTTACGCTGTCTGGAATTTCTAAGGGAACGCGACTATATTCAGCTCGCCACGTCATTCCCTTCCCGAGTTGCCTAAATCGACCTTACGTATAAGTGGGTTAAAGTTGAATTTCCTTCAGTGAAAAACATCCGATTTAGTGAAATTGATTTGTTTAGGATTTTTTCTTTCTTGCAAGCATCAACCTTTTTTCAGGGTTTTCCAGTGAAATCTTTATATATACAGCAAAAGGGAAATTTGTGGATATGTGTGTCTGTTCGAAATGTTTAGCATACTTCCCAACATGCTACAAACTTTTAATTTGGCATGTGGGTAGCTTCCATACTGTACACAATGTAAAAAGTATAAAATATTACTTCGTATTTTTGGGGGGGAGGGAATAATGGATATAATCTATTGCACGGCAGTGAGCGGTGACGGCACATCTGCGATGGAATAAACTATTAATTTCCGTGCGAAGAACGGGTACACATTCTAGTAATATATATTAATAAGCTATTTTTTTAAAATAATAAAATAACACGATATTAATAGGTTAATAATAATGAAAAAAATATAATGAACAATAAGATTCCAAAATAATAAGGAAATTATAATGAAATAATAATACAAATATATTGCTAATAAAATTTTTAATATTTTTTTTAATTAAGAAATATTGATAAAGTAATAATAAAAAATATTATTGTTAAATTGTGATATGATAGTAATAAAATGATAGTAATGAAATAATAAAATAGAAATTGTAATAAGAACATAATCACGGTGAAATTAGAATGAAATCATAATGAAATTATTATCATTAAATATTTCACCCGCGGCAATGTTTTGTGCGCGTTAGTTCCCTCGGCGCTAGTGCAGCGCGGCGACGACGCGAATGAATACCGCAGAGCGACGAGGAGTTCCCTGACCTCCCCCCCCCGCCAAAACTAACCAAGTGGCACAGTCGGTTTGGGGTCCGGGTTGTGGGTCGCCCTGCGGACGTTAGCGGAACGGGAAAGGGGTTTTAACGTCGTCGTCGTCCTTGTCGTGCCAGGAAGAGCCTCTACGATGTCATGAGCAAAGGGAGCATCAGGCGAATCTACGTGAGGCGGTTGAGGGAGTACACCAGGGCCATCCTCAACTTCCTGTTGTACGCCAAGGGGCGGGGCATCATCCACGGGGACATCAAGCCGGTGAGCGGAGCGGGCGCGGTGGTCGCGCCCTCTCGTCGGGGCGCTCGGTTAGCTGGCGCGGAGGCAGCCCGGCCACTGTTGATCGCGGGGTCGAATGCGGTGGCTCCTGTCCATCTGGAGGGAGGTGGTGGTAGTGGTGGTGGTGGGGTCACTTTACCTCCGGTGAAGACGATCTGGGACGAGGTGGACACTCGTACCGTAGAGGCAGGCCGGCCATGGTTGATCGCAGGGTCAATGCGCTGGCTCCGTCCTTCTACTGTGACTCTGCCACCTCCTCCTTCCAGATGGAGGAGGTAGCAGGAGATGTTAACTACCTCGCGAGGTATACAGGAGATCGTGCGTTCGATCCCCGACCCTGACGCCTGCTGTATGTTTGGAGTCCTACGTCTCTCTCTCCCCGTGGTGGTCACGTAGATTTTACTCCGGTTTTTTCCCTCCAGTTCAGAATCAACATCACCAAGCGTTTAGAGGTATTTGACCGCTGCTTTAATATTTCCGCGTGATATGATGATGATATCAGCCCACTTGGTTGAGCTATCGTTTTGTGATGGCCAGATCGCTTCTGACAGAACAGCTGCACAGCAGCAACAGAGTTGGGCCTTGCACCTAGTAAAGTAAAACATAGCTTAGTTTTAGTTTGGGTCTCTCTATGTCTGTGTGGGTCTCTATGAGTATGGGTATATTTCGGTCTTTATGGGTCTCTATGAGTATAGGGTTCTGGAGGTCTTTATGGGTCTCTATGTGTATGGGTCTCTGTTGGTCTGTGTGGGTCTCGATGAGAATGGGTCTTTGTTGGTCTGTGTAGGTCTCTATGAGAATGGGTCCTCTATATCTGTGTGGGTCTTTATGAGTATGGGTCTCTGTGGGTGGTGTATGGGTCTCTATGGGCCTGTTGAAACATGTGTTTAGAGTGTTTGGCTGCTGCTATTAATGTTCACGCAATGATGATGATGATGCTGATGATGTTATTACGTGATGGCCAGGGCGTTTCTGATATAATAGCTACACAACAGCTCAGTGGGGCCTTACACCCTGGTAGTAACAAAACAAATAGGTTTAGTAGTTTATTAAAACGACTTTGAACGAGTCTCCAGGCACATAGCCCATGCCAAAAGTGGGAGGGGGGGGGCTGCCTGTGTGGGTGTAAATGCGTCACTTTGCGTGATCGACCCACTGCTGGGCTGGACATTCTTGCCGTAACCTCAGAGCGTGGGAATTCCTTCTCTGTCTCTCCCCTTTGTCCAGGATAACATTCTGCTTCACCGCGGCCGGCAAAGTCAGGGTCACCGACTTCGGGTGGAGCTCCTACCTGAAGCATAAAAGTGAGTGGCTTTGCGTGCGTGGAGTTTCTTTTTTCAGGGTTAGCTCGCGTCAACGTAAACGTTGCGTCGTCAAACCCGCCTGCCATCCGACGCAGCCAGTAGTGAGGTTCAGCGTCACGTAAACAGGACGCTCCAAATCGCCACTTGCACAGCACTAGCCGGTGTGCTGGAGATGTAAATCCACTACGACGTTACAATTCGAGCGATTACAGCTGAGCATCATCATCGGGCGGGCAGCCAGAGTACGCGGTCCAACCCAAAAACTCGCCTCCGCCTGTGAAATATCGGTCGCAGAAGCCGACTAGGCATTTAACCGACCGAAAAAAGAAACCTGTTCAACCCACGTCGCTGTTGACGGAGGGGCTACTTTATATCATCGTCGTTGTTGTTTGTTGTTGTTGCTGTGCAGCCCAAAACATGTGCGGGGACGTTGCCCTACATGGCCCGGAGCTGCTGCTGGGCTACTATGTCACCTGCGCTGTGGACATGTGGGCTCTTGGGCTGCACCGTGGCCAGAGATGGCCACCGGCAAGGATCTCTTTGATTCACGAATCTTCATAGAACACCTGCCCTACTGCATCGAGGTACGGTCGGTGGGTGGGTACGGTGGGTATGGTGGGTGGGTATGGTGGGTGGGTACGGTGGGTATGGTGGGTGGGTGGGCGGGCAGGTCTCTATGGATATGGGTCTTTGTGGGTCTACACAGAGACCCATACTCATAGAGACCCATGCAGACCCACAGATACCAATACTCAGAGTTTGATTCGTCTGGCGGCCACAAACAACCGGCGAGGAATAGCTAACCTGGTCTTGGACCTCTCATAGGTCGACGCAGCCTCAAACGAGTACTTGGTGTAGCGGTGTGTAGTAAACATTTCCACTGGGGGAGACAAAGGTGGCCGGGCGTGTTGCTGGGCACCCACCCCCTTGTGTGCCGTTCCTGCCTTCAAAGGTGCTGCTCGCTGCTAACAGCACTTGCCCCAGCAATGAGATGAGGCTAATACGGGGAAGGGGAGATTGTTGTATTTGTACACAGTGCTGGCCTTCATAGGTGCTGCTCGCTACTAACAGCGCTTGCCCTAGCAATGAGATGAGTCTAATAAGGAGAGGGAGTGATTGTTGTCTTTGTACACAGTGCCAGCCTCGACAGGCGCTGCCTCCACCACTACTCACCGCTGACAGACGGCACTTGCCCCAATGGACCCGCTGAGGCTACACCGGCTGTAACCCCCCCCCCCCTCCTCCTTTTGTCTTCGTCCGAAACCGTGCGCAGATCCTGGGCATGCCCCCGAAAAAGATGGTGGACGAAGCACCTAACAAGACAACTTACTTTGGTGAGTCGCCAGCGACGTGACCCATTCCGTTTTGTTAGATGGGGGGCTGGCAGTGAGGCTCTTATAGGGTTCTATTGTGGGGGGGAGGGGGGCTCTGATTATCCCGGAGGTGGGGGGTGGGGTGGGGGTTGGGGATCTTTGTAACAGTCGTTAGGAAGCATAGGTGGGTGGGTGAGTGAGCGGGTGGGTGGGGCGGTGGGTGGGGAGGTGAGTGGGTCGGTGAGTGGGTGGGTGGGTTAGTGAGTGGGAGACTGGGTTTGTAGGTGGGTGAGTGGATATGTAGGTAGGTAGGTGGGCGACTGGATAGGTAGGTGGGTAAGTGCATAGGTGGGTGGTTGAGTTGGTCGGTGTGAGGGTAGGTGGGTAAGTGCGCAGGTGAGTGAGTTGGTGGGTATGTAGGTCTATAGGTATGTGTGTAGGTAAGTGGATGAGCGGGTATGTGGGCGACGTGGTGGTTGGTGACTCTGCGTGCGTCTTTCTGTCTCTGCAGACCCTGAGGGCCTCCCCTACAACCTGTCCAAGCAGGTGCCACCGGGAAGCCTTCCTCTGCACCGCGCGCTGCAGGGCCACCACCCTCAGCTGGTGGACTTCGTCAGCCGTTGCCTGCAGTACGAACCACACTCACCCCTCGCTCACCCCCACTCATCCCCACACCACTCACCCCCACTCACTCACCCCCACTCACCACCCCATACCTGTCAACACCTTATCACTGCCTTACCTTACTAGACACAAGATTATTGGTCACCCCGTGACCCTTATGAATCTCAACGTTCATCCTGCAAAATCCCATCACAAGGGACAAACAAACAAATAGACACGAATTATTGTTGTTACCCAGAATTGAAACGGCTGCACATCCGTACGGACCTGAAAACACAATTCCCTGCACAAGAATATCTAATAAACCGTACGGGTTGACAGCTCTCTGCCACCCACATCAACCACCCACCACCACTCCTCCACCCTCGCCATCTCTCCCCCCACGCCGCCATCTCCCCACTCTCCCCCCACCTCCCACCCTGTCAAATCATCTCACCATGCCCCTCTCACCACGTGTGTGTCTCCCTCCATCCCTCCCCTCCCTCCCCGTGCGTCTCCCAATAGATGGGATCCGAATCTCCGGATGACGCCTGAGCAGGCGCTGGCTCACAGCTGGCTCCAAACCACCACCACCACCACTCGCAACACTACCAGAAGGGCCACCCCCACCAATGCCACCATCTGGGCCACCACCACCACCATCGGGGGCACCTCCACCGCTAGTGAGGCCACCACCAGCAGCAAGGCCACCCCCACTGCCAGCGAGGCCAACCCCACCACCACCACCATTCGGGCCACCACCGTCACTCGGGCCACCACCACCAGCGAGGCCACCCCCACCGCCAGCGAGGCCACCCCCACAACCACCACCATCCGAGCCACCACCACCAGCTGGGCCGACACCACCAACTGGGCCACCATCAGCAGCAGCGGTGGCACCACTCCTGTGCAGGGATCTGCAGCTGCTGAGCCACGGTGAGCCTCTCTCTGTGTACCTCGCCTGGTACGCAGGAAGTCGTGGGTTCGATCCCGACCCTGACGATGCCAGCTGCTGCTGTATATTTGCAGTCTGCGTTTCTGTCCCCGTGGTCACCGTGTGGATTCTTCTCAGGGTCCTCAGGATTTTCCCCTCCACGTTGAGAATCGGCGTCATGCACTTCGAGTATTTGACTGCCGCTATGAATGTCCACGCGATGAAGATGATGATGATGTTATCTGCCCACTTGATTCGGCTATCATTCGAGATGGCCAAGTCGCTTCTGGTCTAAGTGGGTCTATGGGTCTCTGTGGGTCTATGCGTCTCTGTGATTATGGGCCTCAGGGGTCTGTATGGGTCTCTATGAGTATGGGTCTCTGGGGTCTGTATGGGCTCTATTAGTATGGGTCTCTGTGCGTCTCTGAATATGGGTCTATGAGTATGGGTCTGTATAGGTCTCTATTAGTATGGGTCTCTGTAGATCTGTATGGGTCTGTATGAGTATTGGTCTGTATGGGTCTCTATGAGTATGGGTCTTTGTGAGTGTAATGAGTGGCTCCAACACGATAAGAACTTGAAACGTTTATTAATAAACTTCGGTACAGTTGGCCGTCTACTCGTCTCTTGTCACTCGCACCACGGATGCATGGCCCCCCAAGCGGCTTCGCTGCCCTGCGCGCTCGCCCCACTCTCTAGCACGCCGCTGGCTGACGGCGCTGGCTAGGGAGCGGCTGAGTGGCTGAAGGTCGAGCCGCCACGTGGCCGATGATGGCAGAGCAGCGGCGGCGACGGGAATCTCCTCTTGATTCTTCACACACCGACCCCGCACCTTGCTCCGGCCCCCGCTTATATTCGCTCCCCGGCGACTAAACCCCGCCTCTGGCCACGCCCCTCATGGAACCTTCGGGAGCATTCCAGAGGCTTCCCGGGTGGCTCCGCCCCATTACCTTTGGCCTCGATGTAATCTTTCCCCGAGATAACCCATAACTGCATATCACACCACACCCCATATAATACAGGAGATGGCGCTCTCATTACATGAGTATGGGTCTCTGTAGGTCTATGGGTCTGTATGAGCATTGGTCTGTATGGGTCTCCATGAGTATGGGTCTCTGTGGGTATGTATGGGTCTCTATGAGGATGGGTCTCTATGAGTATGAGTCGCTATGAGTATGGGTCTATGTAGGTCTATGGGTCTCTGTGGGTATGATAATGACGATGATGATGACGATGTTGATGATGAAGACGATGTTGATGATGCCGATGATGATGACGACGATGATGACGATGATGCTCTGCTGTGGTGTTGCTGCCTCTCTCCACAGAGCGGAGCCGGAGGAGAAGCTCCCATCACCATCGTCACTGCTTACCCAGACCTTTGGAGAGAGGACGGAGGTGGTGGAGACGCAGGAGGATGACGACAACGAGGAGGATAAAGAGGAGGATGAAGAGGAGGAGGATGAAGAGGAGGAGGATGAAGAGGAGGAGGATGAAGAGGAGGAGGATGAAAGGGAGGAGGATGAGGAGGAGGAAGAGGAGGAGGAAGAGGAGGAAGAGGAGGAAGAGGAGGAGGAAGAGGAGGAAGAGAAGGAAGAGGAGGAGGAGAGGGAGCGAGGGGTCCTGGCGCGTGTGGGCAGGGCGCTCCGCTCGCTCTTCGGCCGTCTGCTCCTCTGTGGTGGACGGCCCACGGCAGAGTAGCGGAGTGGTGGTGGTGGAATCGGTGCAACCACCACCACGAGCAGCAGCAGCAGCACCACCACCACACTCACTCACCACCCACACTCACCACACTCACTCAACACCCACACTCACCACACTCACCACCCACACTCACCACACTCACCACCCACTCACCACCCACACTCACCACCCACACTCACCACTGACACCACACTCACTCACCACCCACACTCACCACACTCACTCACCACCCACACTCACCACCCACACTCACTCACCACCCACACTCACTCACCACCCACACTCACCACCCACACTCACCACCCACACTCACCACACTCACCACCCACACTCACCACCCACACTCACCACCCACACAACCCATACTCACCACCCACACTCACCACTCACACTCACCACCCACACACCACCCACACTCACCACTGACACCACACTCACTCATCACCCACACTCACCACACTCACTCAACACCCACACCACCCACACTCACTCACCACCCACACTCACCACCCACACTCACCACCCACACAACCCACACTCACCACTCACACTCACCACCCACACACCACCCACACTCACCACACAATGGACTACAGCCAGCCTAGCCACGTGCGCGTGTGAAGAGTTAGGATAGAGATACAAAATAAGTTATAATGTAATAATGTGTACATATATATCTAGACCATTGTTTATCGATTGTTGTTGTTAATAAATAAGCGGACTCAACAGAACGTTGCAGTTGTGTTTGTTGTGGCGAGTTGCTGCTGCCTGGGGTCTCAGGTGACTTGCCTGGTATATAGGTCGTGGGTTCAATTCCGAACCTGATGAGATGTTTACCACCTCGCCTGGTACATAGGAGGTCGTGGGCTCAATTCCGACCCTGATGAGATGTTAACTACCTCGCCTGGTATGCAGGAGGTCGTGGGATCAATTCCGACCCTGATGAGATGTTAACTACCTCGCCTGGTATGCAGGAGGTCGTGGGTTCGATCCTGATCCTGACGATCCCTGCTGCTGTATATTTGGAGTCTATGTCTCTCTCTCATCATCACAGTGGCTGGGAGATGTTAACTACCACGCCTGGTATACAGGAGGTCGTGTGTTCCATCCCGACCCTGACGATGCCTGCTGATGCTGTGTATTTGGAGTCTAGATTTAAAGCTTTCGTGACTGCTAGGATCCATACTCTTTGGTTCTATTGGGAAAAGTCAAATAGGTAAAAATAAAATAACAAAAAATCACGACGTTTCGGCCACAACACAAGCGGCCTTCATCAGGTGAAGGGACGAGCCTGTCTGGAGGACAGCGCTGGAGTGGAAGAAGCCACGCTTAGATCACGACATTTAAGCTGTGTGAGAAGAAGAAAAAGACCACACGCTTTGACAAAGGAATTAGCATATAATTTAGCATTAAAATGGCTCATTGAAATAGCTAAGTTAAAGTATACACATCCGCAGAGGTGCCCCTTGACAAAGGAATTAGCATCGAATTTAGCATTGAAATAGCTGAGTGATTAGCTAGTAACTGGTCACAGAAATAGCTATGTTAAAGTTAGAGTATATACATTCACCGAGGCACCTAGTACTCATCAAACAGGATAATTTAGCGAAACACAACCACGCTCAGACATCGGACCTATGTGCGAGCCTACAAGGTGTTCTGACAAAGAGATTAGCATAAAAAATAGCATTTGATTGGCGAATTTTAGGAAAGAGGTGGTGTACGTGCTGGTGGACTTGCAGTTTGGCGCGGGGGGGTGGGGGGGGGGTGGAAGGGGGAAGGGGGATTTTACCTATTAATGGTGTGAAAATGGGAATTTATAAGAGCTGCGAAAGTTTGGGGTACCACTACTCGAAAAATATACTGTACCATTGAAGTTTAACACGTAGGCTTTCGCGACCAATATTATTTATAATAAAGGTTTTTGGGTTAGATCGCGTTTATTTATAAATGTGTCGTAACCCTCCACTACCCGACACGGCCAATCAGCAAAAAAAAAGTGTCACGTTGACAAAAGACAAATAATTCACTACTTTAGCCCACCGGTGTGTTGAAGAGTGAATCCACATTTACAGTTTGAGTACGACGTTTCGCTGGTAAATACATCCAGCATCATCGGGCAATTCGCCAGAATGGTAAAGCCCTCGCTTGCTCCCGGGTTTATATAGAGCAGCAGGGTGACGTCATCACTTAACTCATATCAGGTGCAGTGATTAGAGGCGGAGGGGGGGGGGTATTGTAATTATATAATCGATTAGTAATCAGTCATTGGTTATGATTAGTAATGAGTTGTAGATTAGTAATTATTTAAATCAAAATGTAATGTGTATTATTTAATAATACGCTTCCAGGCCGCACTAAGCCTGTAGCTGTCAGAGCGATTAAAGTTATTCTTGTTCCTCTCAATTTCAATGGATTCTCTAATTAGTCTTTGCCAGTAATAATTAGTTTTACACACCACTGCAACATTGTCAAAATCAATTGAGTGTCCTTGTTGACAAGCATGTTCTGCCACTGCCGACAGTTGTGTTTGAGATAATTTAATATTTCTCTGATGTTCTTTTAGTCTTACGCTGATGTTACGTCCCGTCTGCCCAATGTAGCAGCTGCCACATGAACAATTAATCCGATATACACCTTCTGTTGATAGTTTAGGTAATGCGTCTTTAGTGCAAGATACTAGTTTTTGAATTTTGTGTACTGTACCAAATCTTACTGTAATGTTTTGTTTTTGCAAAACACGGTCTAATTTGTCCGTTACTCCTGAGATATATGGAATTTTTATTGTTTTAACAATCTGGTCGCTTTCAGCAGTATTGCTTTGCGATCGTGATTTGGCATTCAGTGCTCTGTTAATTTGAGCATTATTGTAGCCATTCTGTCGTAGTGCGTCTTTAACGTGTTTAATCTCTCTCAC